TGCCTAGAAGCTACTACTTAAGCAAAAAGCTTAAGTAACACTTGCAAGACAGCCATTTAAAACTCTAAGCAGCTTTCTACATAACCAACCAAATGCATAAGCAGTTAACAGCTCTTTACATGGCAGGAGGAGGTTACAATAGCTCTGTACCTTTAAACAGTAATAATTTCAGGCTAATATTTAAGCTTGAACTACTTCAGCTCAGGTGTGCTGCAGCAGCGCCAGGCTTCCCCTCCACCTGCTCCCCCCAACTCACCAGTACTGTGATGCAGTCTTCTGCAGGAGCACACCGAATATTGCAGGGGGTACAAAGAGAGGAACATAATTCCTGGTCTCTTTGGAGCCATGGTGCCTCTCTTCAAACATCATGTCATATATATAGAATCATAGAATGGTTTGGGTTGATATATCCCTTGCCAAGGAAAGCTTAGCTGCTCCAAAACCGCAGCAAAACAGCATCTTCCCTGGCTGAATGGGGACAGGTCAATTCTTCGCCCAGCCCAGTCAACAGAACTGCAGCTCTCTGGGCTTAACAGCTCAAACCATGCCCCCATTAGATCACAGATAGCATCCGTGCTCTGTCGTAGCAGCCTGAAAAGATTAGGAGCAACTGCTGCAACCTATAACTGGTTTGTCTGTTGTTACAAAGGTGTCTGATCTCACAGTACGCTGGTGGTACTCGAGAAATTCTTCACAGTCCACAGAAGATGGTCTTTCAAAAGGGGTCATAACTGGGGGTAGGCTCAGAGAGCTCCAGAGAAGACTCTCACACTTGGAAAAAGCAGCACCAAGAGTGGAAATAATAAAAAAGTGCATGTCCAGGTGGATCGTGTCCTTTCGCCTGCTCCGTACTAGCTCTTAAAGCTCCAGCACTCTGCTAAACCCCATCTGAGAACAAGCGTTACCTGCTGGTGTGAAGAGCTGCTAACTGGCCCGTTCATCTGCTCGTAGTATCTTCTCTCAGCATCATCGTACTTGTATTTCTCAAACCAGATCTTCTCATGCAAAAAGTAGTCCACTGCCATTTTTCTGCAGAAAGGAGAAAAAAAAACCCGAAGTGAGTTCCTAGATGTACTTAAGGTTAGCAGCTTGCAATGAGCTTGTCAGAAGAGCGTTTTCTTCCCCCATAGAGCTGTGCCTGCAGCTCTCTGCTTGGCGGTTTCCCCTCCGGTGGAAAGCTTTAAGTAAACAGGATCCTATTAAGAAAGCAGGGCAGTCTAATCACCCACCCGTCTGCCTGGCCTGACCTGCATTTAGTGACGGGACACCAAGTGGGGACAGAATAAGTCAGCTGATCTGTACCCTTCTTCCACAAAAAAGCTTTCAGAGCAGGATTTTCTAGATCATGCTAGACACACGGGAATCTGCGGCTAAGAAAGATGCCTTGTGTATGAGAATCAAAAAGGGAATAACGCTTTTAATTCTTAAGACGCCTGGCCACGGCAAAACCAAAGACAGAAGAATACGCAGCTCCAAGCAGCACGTGCCACGCTACAGCGTGCCAACCAGGGAGCACCCTGTATGTGACGGGCAACTCCTGACACTACAGCTCACAAATTTAAACGCATTTCAGTCGTCCTTGAACATGACTCAACTGCGTTGACAGCAACTGTTGGCTGTCTTAGGCTAGTACATATGCCTACCTGGTCATGCCGTGCTTCACTAGGTGCACCACCAAATCCTCCTGTAAGGAACAGCCTGGCACAGCATACCGCCTGACACCGACCAGCCTCCAGGAATCCAGACACACACACAATTTACAACGGCACCCCAGGTAACTGCACACTTGCCCTTTTGGAAGCTGCTGCAACTGTTTAGAAATTAAAATCGTCAGCAATGCAACACCTGCAAGGGACAGATACCTGTCACTACAAGGAGGAACAGCATAAGACATCCTACCACTGCTGTGAAACGGTGTTATTTTTCTTCAGTGCAGCAGCTTCCAAAGGTTGTTTAATTTCTCAACTTGAAGGCAAATGATGGAGCCCTGGCAACAGTAAGAGAAGAGGATGTGCCCTTATTTCAAGCCAGGGAACAGCTACAGAGCCAACATCGTTTTGAGGAGGTGGTGAGAGCTGGGATAGAGCATCACAACGAAACCACACCATTACCAGGTTCCACCACACAACGTGGAGAGCGCAACTAACAGCAACCCGCAAACCCTTTCCTTATCAGCTCAAAACGCCGCAGCTCTCCAGTAAAACATTTCCATGGAAGCCAACGGATGAGTCTTTTGTAAAACAAGCACCCTTCTCATCTACCCATTCAGAAGAGACCAGAGGTCACCACACCATACAGGTCCTCTACATTGAAGCCATTCCCAGCACTCAACCCTCCAAGACCCTGCTTGAGCTGCCAACTAGTATCATTAATAGAGAATCCCAGTTACAGACAAACTTATGCCACGTATTTTACAATGACACATGGACTTTTTCGGGGAAGAGTGAAAGGCATGACCAAATATCTAGTTCTGTCCAACTAAAGAGAAAATTATCCCAAATAAGACAGGGTAAAAGGCATGTGTGCTCTAAAGCTTGTCTGTAACCCCCCATATCACTTGACGTAAAGATATTAAAACTTTCCAACAAATCCTAAGAAACTCAAGGATCAAAAGTGTCAGAAATAAGGACTGATGCTCCAAGAGCCTTTTTTCAAAGAACATCAGTGACTGCAGAATAACATCTAAGCACTGGCCTTCGGACAGGCTCCCAGGGCGTTACAGCCCTGGACTTCAGGGTTCAGGCAGTCCTACATAAAAGCACATTTTTAACACAGAAAGCGCGGTATCATACTGCACCTCATCCAGGACTTAAAAAGAAGCCTTTAAACGTTTGTCTGTAAACTGATCTATAACTGCAAGATACAACTATGAAGGTCACCTACAATTTGAGAATGCACTCTTCCTGCCCAGCTACATACACGCACATCAAACGAGCTGTAATCCAGCTAGCCCTGTCCCAAAATTAATAGCAGCTTCCAGACCAAATGGTCTAACAAATTAGAAAGGCAACCTTCTCCCGCAATGAAGCAAACACAGCACATGCTCACACCAGACTGGCGCCCTAAATTGTATTTCACTGTCATCCCCAAGCCGCCTTTCAAGCTGGATAGTGGTAGTGATGCTCAAATGTAGTCACCTCTCACGTGGAGCTCAATGGCCAGCTTATGCGCTCTGCAGGAGAATAGAGGATAACTGCTTCTCTGAAGGAGCTTGTGGTATTTTCACAGAAATACACAGCAAATAACCACTGCTTTAATTTCTCAAATTCAAAGACAAAACACCGCATCCCCTGCTGTCTCAGCAGGCATGTTTAAAACACCTGATTACTCCCTCCAACTTCTCACTTTGATGATGGCTTTTTGTATGTAATAGGAATATGGAAAGTGGCATGGCCCCGGGCTTCCCCCATGTAAAGAGGGGGTTAAACCTTAGCTCACTTCCCAGCCCTGACGTTAAATGCTTAACCTCTCTGGCACCACACAAATGACTACCTTTTTTCATGGGGGTGCTTTAGCCACCAGCATTCATCAGGAGAAGAGGGCTCCTTGAAGGAGTTTCTCCCCAGTTACCCTGCCCACGAACAGGCTCCCTGGCTCAGGAGCAGCATCTCCCTACAGCTGCATGCACGCTCGGTCCTGCAGACACAAAGACGCCCGTCTTCCACACATGCAAATTCTTTCAGCTCAATCCTGACCCGGCAGTTTTGCATGTGTGAGTGTTACCCCAGAATAAACTTCTCCTACTTCATTTCTGGCGCAGGTACGCTTGAAGCATAAGCAGCTGGTTGGGAGGGTTTTACTACTGCAGATTCCTGCATCCCCGTACTCTCTCCTGCTCTCGACATCTTCAGAGCCTCAGCTGCATAGTATCGTGACTCGGCGCTGTCATACGTCAGCTTATTAAGCCACACAGTTTCGCTGTCCTCATGCAGGAAAAAGCAGGTAGGCGGAGGTTGCTCAGCATCACTGGGAAGCAGAGAGTTGGTGGCGACCTCCACGTGTTTGATGTCCACTTGCTTTCCAGCGCTGTGGTTCTTCCTGTCCTCGTGGTGGTTCTTCAATGCTTCGGGGCAGCCACGTTGCTGCTGTCTGACTTTGCCTGATGGATGACCATCAAACATGTTCTCATAGAAGCTCTTCTCAGCATCATCATAAAGAGGTTTCTCCAACCACACCTCTGACATGAGAGCCTGCAAGCTTGAAATCTGCGGCTTACCATTTACTGTCTGGTGTACAGAGCCAGGCAAACTGGAAACGATGGAAGAAGCAGAATCAGCAACAACGTCTGGAGCTAAGCTTGGCGTAGCAGGAGTAGGCAGGGCTGTAACGTAGCCCTCATCCGGCGTCCTCAGCCCAGCGTTGCCAGCATTTGACCACACAGACGGGATGGTTAGGACATTTGGAGGAACAAAGAACTGAGATTTTTCAATAAACGCCTCCTCGGCCTTATCAAAGTCAAACTTGTTGACCCAGACATCCTGAACAACATGGTGACACGCAGACAGACTACCATGGGAGCAGGGCAGGGCTGCTGAAAGCATCCTTGACTTAGGAACATCTTCGACAGCTTTTGACCTGGCCACTAAAGGGGACTGCTCAGCAGTTAGTGCAGTCTCAGATGCCTCCTCGTTCTGACAATCCACTATTTTTTTTCTGTACACGTTCTCAGCGTGATCATAGAAAGGTTTGTCAAACCACACATGGTCAGCTAACAAACCAGTCAGAATAGAGTCTAATTTGGAGGCCACGTTTCTGGGTTTTGGAGAACGCTTCCGTTTCCTTTGTTTCTTTCCATTCCTTGCTCTCTTCAGGTCTCCCTTGAATTCACTCTCCACAGAGTCGTCATTGCAGACCCCATTTACAGCCTCTACCTCCTGGCACTCCTCAGGGGCCGCAGCAGCTAGCATCGCTTCTCTTTCGTAATGCAGTCTCTCTGCTTCATCATATTTGTGCTTGTCTACCCACACTTTTTCTACTGGGCAGGGAGGCTTCCTTGTCCTCATCTTCCAAAGAGTGGCAGCATTAAAAGATAAGCACAACAATGTAGTTGCAGCAAAACTAAATAAAGCAAGCGCATGCATCAGACTTTAGTAATTTCTTAAATAATACAAGAGCGTCAAAAGCTATCATGCCGTTATTATTCATGGTAAAGAGCCTAAGCATTTAGTGTCTAAACACTGCCAGTTTCTGAAGTCAAAATAACCTTCCTCCTAAAATACTTCTGCTGTTCTGACAAGTATTCTGCACACCACTATTTAAAAATAAAGGCACTGGCTGAAGGCACTTCCAATTTCACTTCTGAAGACAACTGGCAGGAAAAAAATACCCGAAGAGGTTTTGTTCAAATCCCTGGTAATGTGTAAGATATTCTTCCACGCTGGTAGATTAGTCCTCAGTTACTTGTTAGGTATTCTCAGCTAGGCACTGTTTTGGGAAGACAGGCTAAAGAAAGATGCCCCAACTCTTGAGTATCTTTAGAGGTCATTGCTTACACCTATTTGTGTTTTGCTACTAGAAAGCCAGCAGAGGGAGCTCACTGAAAAACTATGACTCAGTTTTGGTTTAAAACCCCAGTTACCGGCAAACTAAAATTGACCAAGAGCTGGAGACCTCATGATTAATTTAGCTTACCAGAAAGATTTTCTATTGAAATGAAAAATATCGCATCTGCTTCGTGTTTTCCTGCCCTAGTCATACTTTACTACAGGGGAAAAAAAAATCAAGCAGCTCCTAGTATGTGTAGATTATTGGAAGTGGTACGGGAAATACCTTTCCAAGTACAGAATTTACTGTACTGCTCAAATATCTAATGAGTAGTTAACTACCTTTCTGCCAAACACTACATGGTCAGACCCCTGGAGTTAAAAAAAAAGGTCTGAAATTAAGTACCTGTAAGCCAGCGCTCTCTTTAGCTACCGACAGCTGCAAGTTTTACAGCTACAAATTTATCTGTGACAGGTTGCCAAATAAAATTCACATACAACTGAAATAGCCTCCAGACTTCAGTCGATGGCTTACAGTTCCAACCGCTCCTGGAAGATTTTACAAGCCTCAAGTCCGGGGCTTGACAGACCAGTAAAAACAATAAACTATTATTACAAGTAAACACTTTTGCCTTTTTAAACTTTCAATTTAAATTTATATAGTTTAAAATATTTAAGCAATGTAATGCTATATTTCAATTACAAAAATCACTTAGGAAAAGCAAAAATAGATCTTTCTTCTTACTCGAGTTGTGAAACTGCTCCTCCACCAGCTGCTGAAAACACTGTGATACAGCTAAAAACATTTAAAAATATCTAAACTGAAACTTAGTTTGAAGTCTTTGTTTTACTTTACACTCTTCTCTTGCATTTTACACCAGTTATGGAGCAATAAAACACTTCTTACTACAGACAACTAGAAACAAACGAGTGCTTTCAAGAGACATTAATCTACATGTTCCCATCAACATCAAAACCACCCCAGCTGGAAGCAAACGCATTGCAAGGTAGGAGCAATGCTACGAGCAAGCAGTAACTCGGGTTTACTCCTCGGGGTAAGCTCTGTTACTACAGCTTCCACAGCATGATCATCAAGCAGTGAAAAATGACATCACGTGTGGTCATGCAGACCGAAGACATGCCAGTGCCACTAAGGAGCCTGCACAAGTTATTGAGGTACACGGATATCTTCCTGCTGTAAAAAAAACCAACAAACAACAAACCACCACTGAGGCAGCCTCATACTCCTGATTGTCTCAGCTGCCGGACAAATAATTTAAGATATTTTTATATTCTTACATGGTAAACAGCATCCCCCTTAAAAAAATAATCTTTACAGGAGATGCCAATTTAAATGGGATTCTTGGAGGGTAACATCAAAGACAAGGCAACATCTGCTAGAGCAATACCTGCATTTCAGTCATTTGGCAGACTGGAAAAGGATTAAGTGATGCAAATTAAAAACGCTGTGCGCAAAGGCACTGCTTTGCAGTGAACACGTACCACGATAACGGCCATGCGGATCTAGTGCAGTCACCTGCCAGCAAAAAATCCACAGGGAAAGCAAAGTGCACAACTGAAAATACATAGGTAGGACATGCAAAAGGGTGAAGGCAATACATTTGAATTTTTATGTTACTTAGCAGTCGATAAAGACCGCTACACAGATCATCAGATTTCTGCATTTGCCTGACATGCTCTGTTTGGCTTTACATTCACACTTATTTGAGTTATCCCAAGGAAAAAGCACAGTCTGTAAGTGAATAAAGCCTTCAAGGAGATCCTTTATTGAGAATATTTCATTAACCCAGTGCAGGCGTTATCATATTCTGAGGTTATGACTTAAACTATTTCAGGAAGAATCTCCAGTGGGTATAACAAGAAACCCAGACATGACTCAATACACCTCAAACTGTCACACCTTTAAATGTTTAATTTGTGTTACAGCTATTAACATTTCATATAGAAAGAGCACGACCATTTGACAAAAACAAAAATAAAATTTGGGGTTTAATATATATTTTTTTTTAACTATAGGTGATTTTGCTCAAGTCCTTAAGCAAACAGCTTCAAGCACTGGAGTTGCAGCCCCCACGTCACTCATCTCAACAGTGAGGTGCATTATTGAGGACTCCCAACTTATCAGGAGGTTCTCTCAAATCAAAGAACTGTCTTGAATCAAAGTGAGACACAGGTGAGTTTAATAAAGCTGTAAAGGTACGCTTATTTCCAATGGAAATCAGAAAACTGTGCAATAATCTGTCTAGTAAGAAGTATCAGATCGGTGCCTATATTCCCCTGATTTTCCAGAAAGTGCAAAAACCACATGACAACTAGAGAGTACTTACTTTTTTAGCTCCTATGATAGCATTAAGAAAAAAGGCAAAGTTAGAGAAAGCTTCCAGTTCTAGAGATGCAGCAGCTAGTCAGCAAGGACACAGAATGACAACAGCCAAATGTATTATCATATAGTTAACTCCCCCCTTACATAACACATTTAATTAAACTTACAGCTGGTTAACTCTCCAGAACTACATTATCTTAATCAACCAACACCACAGACACTCAGTTACTTTTAATTTTAAATAACAAGCACTAAAAAAATATACATATCCAAAAGGATCTACCCATCACGACAGGGAACCAAAGGCTCCCAACCTGCCATACCAATACTGTCAGCTGGTGCAAAAGTGAAGCTCAGGTCCCCCAGTTTCAGGTAACTAAACACCAACAGCAAATACCTGAAAGAATTCTGAAAATGTAACAATTACAATGTCAAATAATGAATTCACATGGTTGTAGTTACTTCTACCAGAAGTTAGACATCTGTACAACATCCTATGAATGAGACAGAAATAAATACCAATACTCAGCCCACTAATTTTTCAGGAAAAGCATCAATACGACACGTGAACACCTGTGGCAGAATTTAAGCCTTTAAGAATTTAAGAGCCATACCTACGAGGCTACACTTAGGAAGCCTGATGAGACACAGCTTCTCATGTCACCGATTCAACATTACGTGTAGGAAAAGGGTATTTCTGCAAGGAAGCAACACAAACCCCCAAGCCAAAGTGACCACAAATGTTCCCCATCAAATCTGGCTCACAGGAATTCAAGTGCTGTTTTTTACGAAGATTATTACCAGGGAAAAGCTTCGTAAAGGGAATTTACCACAACAAGCGGCAATACCATTTTCCAAAAACAAGTCCAAGATACTTGCAGCACCTATTTGTTTCCATGAGGGGCCAAACCTTAGGTTCAGTTATGATAAAGACCAGATTTTTCAATGAAGTAAAGTTTACAAACACAAGCAAAAACTGTAGGAAAAAAAAAAAGTCATGTCCACTCTGTGTTCATAAGTTTTCCCAGAGGAACATGGGAAGAGGCATATACAAGGATTTTAGTTACACAAACCATCACCTGAGCTGGTGCGGACAGCCTGATGAGAGATGTGAGCTGCAGAACATTAACACCAGACCAGAGCACTTCCTGTTCTCCCAGCATACAAATTTACTCCAGACAAGACACAAGCTCACAATCCAGCTTCAGCCAAGTCTGCCAAAGCACAGTACGAAGACTGAAGGGGGGATACCTGATCCGACAAAGTCTGGAGGGACAAATTCACCTCTTCAAAGGTTTTGGAAGAAATTTAAACTGACTTGGACTTCTTAAGAGCCTGCACCATACGCCACGCTGCTCGCAGTCTGGTCTGAGGCAGCTAAGACTTACCACCGCACCAAACCACAGCCTGCGCGGTTGTTCCAAAGCTTTCCACCTGGTTATTCTCAACTACACGCTTCACCCCCTCAAACAGAAAGTTTTACAACTAAAAGAACGTGCTGTAGTTTTATGAACACTCTCCACTGGCAAAAATCAGAGCACAAACTAGAGCTGAATTAGAAACCCGTCAGCCTGCACACGCTCAGAACCAAGCTGGCAGCTCAGAAGATCTCGTTCTCAAACCACTCCCGAGACCACATTCACCCGCTGCCTAGTAACATTTTTCAGAAGTGAAGCAGTTTTTCAGTTAACTAGCATTTTTTTAGCACGAAGATAAATTAATACTTCGAGACAGAGGCAGCAAACTTTATAAAAAGTGTTTAAGAAACACAAATCTGTGAGTGGAGTATAAAAATGTAAGAAGGCTCTTACTGCACGCACCAGAGACTGGCTCCTGCGTACCCAGGACAATTTTGCTTTTCCAGTGACAGTGCAGACAATCTATCAGGTGTTTTACAAAGCATAAAGCCACTGGAAGGGCAAATGTTATTATTAATATTTATCGATGCCAAATAATCAAATACTCCCAAGTGACAAAAAACCCAAAAATCACAGGTCAATGTTTAGGCCTCCCATGGACCGTTAAAGAGGGCTTACAAAAACCTGAAAGAATTTTTAATCGTAGCTACTGCTTCAGAGCTCTGGGCTCGGTGTTGTCTTGTCACCACTTCCTGGGTATTTCAAGCCAGAACAAATCTGTCCTCCAGCGCTGCAGGAAAATGCATAAAGTTAAAAAT